TAAATGGATGATTTTCCCCATCCCTGCTGTCTGATGCATAAACTTGGAGCGTTCTCGCCACTTATTGCCATGGCAAATGGGCTGTGGAAAGGCCCAGGGTCTAGGACCCACATGAACTTGACCCTCCCCATTTTCCGGGCTCTTCTCCATCGCTCCAGCCCGTCACTTTGTGATCCACTCCCCACTCTCCTCCAGTCTGGGGTTATCTATTCAAAACTAATTACACGCTTTAATGTGGAAGGGGCGTGCTTTTCCACCTCAGTCTCCCCCGTTTTTCCCTGCACCATTAGTCAGCTGTTTTGGGCGGGTGTATGCAGTCATGGATACGTTTTCCATTTCTGGTTTTCCTCGCCGCTATTATGATTACCTTTGAGTGTGGTGCGAATGCACTTATGGTCGGTGTTTTCCTAACGGTTTCCCATATAGAGCGGGCCTGAAAAGTGGGAGTGGCAGAATTCGAACACCCCAACATTCAATTAGAACTCGATTTCTGATCGATAAATGAAGTTGGAGGTGCGACCAACAGCAGAGCTTTAATTACTTCATTTCGAAAATCGATTTGAGGTGCGGTATCAAATAAAACTTTAATGACTTAATTTGGTGTTGAAAAAATCAGTTTATATTGGTAGCACAACACTAACTATACTCACAAATATAAAACAGCCACTGAATTAATTTATGTTGACTGGAAATCTTTATTCTTTCTCCGCTTTTAATTTATTATGTCTCCCCTTGACAGTTAGCTACATTACATCAGTTACCACACATAATTAATTCAGTGAGACAATTCAAACCCCGAACTGGAGGTGCTAATGATGCAACGAATCTTTTTCGCTCGATCGCCGCGATCTGCGGTCGCGATAAACTTATCAAAATTCATTTGCCTCGCGTGTTTCTCTAATTAATTGTAAGCCCCATTTCCTCCCAATTTTTCTTGCCACTTTCGGACGGGGGTTATTTATAACGTTTAGGCCCCACAACTCATAAGGCTTAACCCTTTGCGTTCCATTTCGCAGCGGATTAAGCAAGCCTGTCCAGTGTTAACTGGGTCAATTGGAAAGTCGGTTTTATTATCTCACTGGCTCCTATACTCGCATTTCGGTTTGCTCTTATCTGCGATGGGGAAGTGCGTGCCGCGAAGGTAAGTCAAGTGGAGTGGAGTGGAGTCGAGTGGAGTGTTTGGGAGTGTTTGGCCGACCGAACTTGTGGGCAGACAGGTAAGAGATGAATGCGTTGCGGGGCAGAGGAGGAGGAGGAGGAGGAAACCCAGCCAGGTTGATGAATGGATTTGGTTTACTTGGGAACAGGTTGCAGTTCGCCATCGGCAGAGGAGAAGAAGGAAAGCTGATTTCGTTCTGGGTGTGCACAGAGTGCCGTAAAACTGAATTATGGCCCAGTACTTGAAGCGCGAAAGTTCTTCGGAAATCCATCGAGACTTTCTGGGTGTTTCAAAAATAAAGGTTAAACGGTGTGACTTTCACAAGTATAAATTCCTCTTCTACCCCGACTTCTGTATTCTGAATTCATCCCACCAAGGTGTCTTCGATCAATGTTTGTCGGAAAGCAGCCACCAGAAAACGATTCGCTTGGCTCAAAGCCAAACCCATTAAAACCGTAGTACTACGATATCATGCAGCTTGACTTTGGTAATGAAATATTCAAATGACAACCAAGCGAGTTGGGCAAGACCTCACAGCACAGTGAAATATTTCAATTTTTAATGCTAATTGCGTGCCAAGAGCATTGGACAGACAGCCAAAGCGGAACGACCCTGAGTGGGGCCAAATTGAATATCGAATATTGATCGAGTTGGGAAGCGTCTTTAAGAGCTGTTGGGTCTGTGTACGAAGTGAACGATCTCATAAAGCGAAATTCTACAGAAATATATCTTATTAATAGAGATATAATCGAAGAAATATAGACAGACCGTTGAATGCCACTCAACGCTTCGCTGCCAGCCTTCCGAGGGGCAGTTTTAGAGTGCAACATTTGATTGCGTGCCGAGAAGAGAAGGAAAGGGGGCGATATGTGGGAGGTATGAGGCGGAAAAGCGGGGGCGTGCGTGCCATTGCTCAATGAGAAAGAAGAGACAGCAAAAGCGACAGACCCCTCATGGAGAGCCCAAACATAAATACAAGTTTAACAGAGTTGTGACAGTTGGCAAACGGAAAGTGCAGTGGCCATTAACAAACCCAGAGGTTTTACGGGGGAACTCAGTGAGTGGAGGAGCGCCACAAGTGACCATTAAAAGCAATTGAGGCGCCTCAAAAAATACAGCATAAAATGGACACAGAGAGGGAGCCACCGCTTGATGTCTCCATTAAAGTAGCAAGCGCTGCGCTGCGTGGGTTTTCCCCCATCAACGAGTTTCCCAAAAACGGACAGTGCAAAACCCTGCAGCTTAAGGTTAAAGGCTCAGCCAATTCCCCGATTCCCCCGCCTTTGCCCCTCCAATTTGCATCCTTGTGTGTTTCCCACAGCCCAGCCGCTGAGCCGCCAAAAGGAAATTAATTTATATGAAAAACAATTTTCTTCGCTGGCCAACTTTTTGTTTTTGGGGCCATGGGAAGCAGGAAAACTTTATTGCGTCGAGTTTTTCTGCTCGCTCTTTTTCTCCGTTTTTCCAACTCAATTTTTCCCCAATGCACATTGTTTGCGAAAATACTTTTTGCCGCCGGCCCGTGTTTTGTTTTTATAATGAAATTGTTTCACTGCTTCTTAAACTCTAATTTGAGCTTTCTTCGGATGTTGATATTGTTTTCGCTGTTTTCGCTGTTATTGTTCACTGGTTGGCGCCTAATTGAGACACAACTGTTGTTTTAATGCATTTAACATTTTCCGCGGGAATTATGTCAGTTGGCTAAGCAGTAGAAGGGGCGGGAAAACCAAGGGAGTGGTCTGAATTGGTCCGCAGTTTCTTCCTCATGTTGTTTGGATGATGTTACCAACAGCACGCATTACACGCTCGGAAAAATGGGGAGTTGGAAAAGTGGGCGGGGTGCGGTTGGCAAGGGTGGGGTTGTGCAGCAAGTATGGGAACGAGGGAGCGTTGCACAAAATGCATAATTTTTTGCATATTGTTTGTTAATATGAGAATTGATAAATGAGGTCGGGAACTCCCCCAAAAATTACCTCTTATAATTATTTAACGATATTATTACTTTTTTTTAAGGGAAATGGCTTAGTAACGTTTGCTATTTAGAGAGATACAATTATTATTTACAATTTTTTTAGAAGTGCTAATTGTACATTTGACAATGTTGAGAGGCAATAAGTCATAACCTTTTAAAAGCACTCGAAGCCAGTTTCTTTAAACTCCTTCGATAAATTCCCCATTAATCATCTGAGCAATTCCTATAAACAAACGCACCCGTTTCTTATCCGACGACATGCATAATGTTTTCAGAACTGTACTTCCAACTTTAAAACGATATAATATGTATGTATATATGGATATGCGGGTTCTGGTAATCTTGTTTGTTTCTCCGTTTTTTCCCTCTTTCGCTTCAATTACGCGGAATTGTGAGCTGTCAACATATCGCAAGCGATTCTTTTTATTTGTCCAATTTGAAATTGACTTTATTTTCCTCTATTTGGTTTTCGGCGAACACGACAAACCGAAAAGTTCTGACATCATGCGCGGTTCGCAAATAGGTTCCCAGGGTTCCAATTAAATTCAGGGAGTGCCCTCGATCCCGCTGCTCAATCCGAAAACAAACTCCGCTCGAAAAATCATATTAAATTGTATTAGCAAATTTATTGCATTTAACCCAAAGACATGACAACGTGCCGCGAGGAAAAGGGGGGGAAAACCACGCACAGGAAAACAAGCTGGAAAACACACCTAAAAAGGGGGAGAAGGTGGCTTGGGGGGTTTTCCGAGGAAAACGCAGGAGAGCTGGCAGAAATGTCAAATTGGCAGACAAAACAGTTACAAAATTTGAATGGCATGGAGCGAGGGGGCGGCGAATGATTGAATGAGCGACTGACTGAATGAATGCATGATTGAGTGAGTGTCTGCCTATACTTCTCCTCTCTCTCTCTCTCTCTTAGTAAACCCCCTCCGCCGCCCCTGGACCAATGCAAATGCTTTCAAGTCGTTTGCCAATGCAATTGGCAAACAAGGAAGCAAAACGAGCTGCTGTCAATTCAAAATGATCCGCACAGACAGCTAAAATAAAAAAAATTACCGAGGGGGTGCGAAGAGGAGGCTGATCGCCGGCAAGAAGCAGAGGAGAATCCTGCACCGCCAATCCGACGCCACAAAAACGTAGAAGATTTTCAACACCGAGGTTCTAGATACCCTGAAAGACTATTTAGTAATTACCAATCAATTTACTTATTAAAGTTAATACCTAAAACGATTTTTATTTCAAGATATACTTGCTAGTTTCTGTAAGCTTAATAAGCCAACACTTGGATAGGGAATGTAAGTCAACTACAAACCAGACAAGAAATTAATGAAAATGCAAATGGTAAGCGACAGTTGTGGAAAAGCGGGAAACAGTTCGATTCGCAAATAGCTTTGAATTTGTTCAGGTGGCCCACCTCAGACTGAACGGCCTGCTGGTCTGCTGCTGTGGCTCCAACTCCAACTGCTCCAACTGCCGGCTCAGTGGGTCAACGAACTATCCACGAACCACACCCCATCTCAATCCAGCCCAGCTGGAGTGACCCACCGACTTTGATAAACGATTCGAGGCGATTTCATAACTGACCCTGACACGCCCTCGGACGAAGCAACCTCCTTAATGATCTCTAATTAATTTGATTGAGGGGATTGCTTGGCAGAGGGATTTTCGGTTTGATAAATTGTTAGATTAAATGGGGATCAGTTAGGGAATTTTCGAAGAATGTTGCAGTAATCACACATCATTAGAGGCAAAATCGTAAACAGCCTAGAGATTACACCTTTTTTTTCCAATCTCTGTAAACATGTTTCTCCATTCATTCTCTAATCTCAACTACTAAACAGGCTAAGAATCCCCAGAACTAACTGTCAATTAAATCGTATACTGTATAAGGAGTTTTCGCTTGGAATTCAGTTACAAATTATCGCACGCACGGGAAAGTCGAACCTATTTTATTTGTTGTATAGAATCCAGCTAAAGAGACTCAAACCATGGCAGACGACGACAATGCCCAGTTCGACACCGTGGACTCGGGGGCCTCGAAGACCTTTCCGATGCAGTGCTCGGCACTGCGGAAGAATGGGTTCGTGATGCTGAAGGGGCGTCCCTGCAAGATCGTGGAGATGTCCACCTCGAAGACGGGAAAGCACGGCCACGCGAAGGTGCACCTGGTGGGCGTGGACATCTTCACCCAGAAGAAGTACGAGGACATCTGCCCCTCGACCCACAACATGGATGTGCCGCACGTGAAGCGCGAGGACTACCAGCTGACCGACATAAGTGACGACGGGTTCGTCACCCTGATGGGCGACAACGGGGACATCCGCGAGGACCTCAAGGTGCCGGACGGGGAGCTGGGGGGAGCTCTTCGCTCCGACTTCGACGACGGCAAGGACCTCCTCTGCACCGTGCTGGCGGCCTGTGGAGAGGAGTGCGTCATCGCCATGAAGAACAACTCGGGCTTGGACAAGGGAGGAGGATGATGAAGAGGCGGGTCAAAAAGAGAAGCGGGGGAGTTCGGTTGGAACTGGTGGATATTAGATATTTAACGAACAAATAAAACTCTGGATGCGAATTAAGTCTTTTGTGTTCTGTACAATATTGGATCAATTAGTGGGTTTAATTGATATACAAGCAAACAGTTTAAATGAACACCCTTTTATAGCCGCACAATCCATCTTTATACATATAAATTGTCATTTTAATAGGGCTGAAATTGACTTGTTTAGACGAGTTCTCAATTTGAGATGCTTTGAGGAAGATGAGTTCAAAATTTATAAAATTGAAATAACACGGTCAGCAGTTGGCCATGCTGCTTCTCTCATCGGACCTCCTTTATCCTGTTCCGTGGTGAAAAATGCCCAACTTCTGGAAAATTCTTTGGCGAGTTGTGGACTCATTCACAGATCCACCTAAAAGACCGGATAGCCACATCATCATGGGTGCTCCAATAAGCCACTTAAGTATAAAGAAATACTTCAGTTTAGGAAGTTCAGGAAACGAGAAAAACAGCCACATCGTCATGGGTGCTCCAATAAGCAAGTCAAGAGTAAAGAAAAACTTCAGTTTGGGAAATGGGAAAAGTTCCTCACATCATGCTCGATATTTGGTTCCATATTTAAGTCGCCATGTGCATTTTTCGCCAAGCACCTTGGAGCACCAAAGTTACCGAAAGGCGATTATGAATGCGGAAACCATTTCCTTCCAGAATTTTATGCGGGAGATGTACGATGGATACTACGAACTAGTACTTTCCCAGAACCTAAGCACCGAAAGGCTGGGACTCAAGGGCCTGAAGCAACTTCAGAAACTGGCCAAGGACATGTGGAAAACGATGGACTGGGAGTGGAAGCAAAAGTACAAGGATCTTGCCAAGAAGGCAAGACATCGTCAATCCTTGCGCCTGCCACCCGATCCCTTTCGAATTCCACTGCACATCAGGAGATCGTCCAAAAAGCTGATGAAAACCATATCAACTATATAACTGCATTCAGTGAGACATCGAAATCTTTTGCCATAAACCAAATAACGTGCTTTTTATACAGTTTAGATTATGCACATGCTATTATCTTAAATTTCGTTTACTTTCGGAATGGGTGGGTGGATGTGTTTTTAACTTTGCAGCGATTTTAGCTTGATTTAATTTGATATGCATCCTCATCTCCCAAAGCAATTCGGTTGAGTAATGCTTCCTACACCCCGTAAATGGCTCAAGACTGACCGCATCTGCATACGATTAGCATACGGATTACTGTGTCCATATCCGGCCTACGTGTGCATAATTAGCTCTTTAATCCGCCTGCGCTTCCACCTTACAAGTTAAGGAACCCAAAAGGGAAACATTTCTCTGGCTGGGAGATCGCCTATGGTCGTTTAGGAAACAGTTAAGTCATTGATTTAAAAGAGGAAGTTAAAAGTATGTTTCCTTACGCAATGCTTTTCATCAAGAGCTGGTCTTCTTCAACTTACCTGCAAGTAAAACAAAATATAATTTTCTATTAGTTTGATTTACAAGACACTTAAAAGTCTTTAAACATTTATATGCTTCCTTCTCCAAATATTTACACCACTCAACAGAAATCTCATAATCTACTAATTAACAGCATTATAAAACGCACGCCTCCTATAAATAAACCCGAATTCCCCAGAAGGAATTCGCCTCTGCATTCGACATCTCAACTTCATTCACAAAACCGCCTCACAAAATATCTTGGTTCCCAAGTGTCATTTTCCACGCCTAAAACGAGGCCAAAAGCGAAACCAAATCGAACCCAATGCAACTCGAGGCAGCATCCAGCTCTTTGGGAATTTAATTGCATTTTCGGGGCGAGATCAAGGGGCGGGCTCGTATATTGGTGGCCAGGGGGCGTGGCATTAAGCACATTCGTTCACACTTTTCGGTGAAGGGAAGGCGAAGGCGCCAGGGGGAGTCGATTCGTGTGATACTTTAGTGACATTTTAAATGGAGAATTTGTTGTTCCCACCCACTCAAATCGTTAAATAGGTCAGCGATGTGTTACCGAAAAATAACACAAAGTTCTCCACATAAATTACTTCCTTCCCAGGCTTTTTTCTCCGTTTTTTCCTGTGTTTCGGTAACCCAAATTCCCCAATCGAGGACCCCGCCCTGCTGTCCTACTTATGCAATCGTTGCTTTCCCAAAACAACCAAATCAACCAAAAGAAAAAAAAAACGAAACCAGAAACAAGTGCTGGACCCGAGGCTAAGGGCCTGACCGATGATTTCGATGATCGACCGATCGACGGATCGACGGATCGATTGGCTTTCCCCTGTTTTTCGGTAATATATATTTGCATTCGCCCGGAGACTAATACTATCATTTGTTTTTACGATAATGCTGCTCCGCCCCTGCGCTCTTGCAACATTTCCACTTTTTACGACCGGCCCAGTCAAGCAATTAGTGTTTGCCATTCATGGCTCACACACTCTCTGGAGGAACAGCTGGGAAATCTCACAGGAAACCGTTACGCAATCTCTGAGATAAAGCTCAGAATTTATACCCACCCGTCGGCTAATCATCGGTGCCCGCGCGATGACTTCGAAGTTTACGGCCTTACTAACTATGGAATGGATCATGTGCTAAGTGATCGTCATTATCCCGGCTGAACCATCTGGACTCTGGATTCTGTGACAAGTGCAGGTAATTGAGTATCGCCTCCAGGGAGGAACAAAGCACTCCGCGTTGATGGCTTCGGAAAAGGGGAAAAGTCCAAGAACGAGTTGGAGATGAGGCGATAACTCGCAGCAGGTTTATGCTCTTGCACGTCGGAAAATCGCGAAGGGGACAGACTGCGGTTGTGAAAGTAAACTTGGGTTGGTTCTGAGTTTATTTGATGGTTGGGAAGTCAGAAGGAAAACAGTGTAGTAAAATATTTAGTGGTTTTTGGAAAGTTTTATTACTTGTGCTGCTAATACCAAATAAACCAAATTTAACAGCCAATTTGAAATAAAAACGATATGATAAAATACAACTTATTTTAGCATTTAATTGTACAAAAAACCAATCATCGACGAATAATCCCGTATATTCTTAAAAGAGAGAGGTTGGGATTAAACAATCCCAACCACTTAGCCCCCGTTTTTGTACCGATTTCTACCATTCTGGCCAAGGAACGGGGCAACCAAAGTGACACGCTTAAGTGCAAAAGTCGGCTGATGGATTGATGTGGCTTCACGTGTGTCAGCGGCAAAGGCGGCACCACCGAAACCACAAGATACGAAATAAAAGAGCACCACACACACACTCAGCTGCAGATACAGATACGAGTGCAAAGAGAGCTCCGAGTTGGTGGCAATGTTCTGTGGGTGACTCACCACCCAGTTTGAAACTAGTCATTCTCCGGATTGCCTCTGCTCCTGCTCCTGCCCCTCGAACGTCACCCCCTGAATGAGCTCAAAATTGTTGGAACCGCGTTGAAAACAGCAAGAATTGCAGAGAAAGAAGAAAACAAGGGGAAGAGCATACCGAATGCAAGGAAATTGAGGGGGAGTAAAAGAAGGGGGCTTTCAGTAAAAGGAGAAGGGGGAGGAGCGTCCCTGAAAAATATCGATTTCGCTTGGCTTATGGACTTTGGGCCGTTTCTTCCTCTTTGGCTCACACTTCGCCATTTCCCAGTTTGTTGGTTTTTGTTTTGCTTGTCGCCTGCTAAGAAGGCATTCACCTCATTTCCTCCAGTGGTCAGAAAATGCAGAGGAGAAGGGGAGGCGGTGGGGCATGGGGCATGGGGCATGCAGAGTGGCCAGAGGATCGTTGCATAATGCCCGATTCGAGTGTGCGTGCGAAGAAGGCTTATCTCCTCTTCTCCTTTCGGAATTCAGTAGGAGCTACCAGTGAACAGATGGATTCTTCTGAAAATTCAACTGCCATTACAGTTGTATACCCTTTAACATGGCTTCAAAATGTGAAAGGTATATAATAACAACAAATTGGCATTTTACCAATGCCTAAACATATTGCCAATATCAAGGGTATGTTGAACCGCGGTTTTAATGCTTTCCATCCTTGCACAACTTTCTTTTCTCGCATGGACCAATAAAAATATTGCTTCCCTGCTAATTTATTATCGCATCTGATTGTGGCAATCGAACACTGGGCTGCGATCCGCAGATCGCATTACATTCGAGTTTAATTTCTCATTTATTTTCTGTTGCCTCATATTTGAGCAGCAATTTGCAAGCAAGCAAAAACTGCTGGTAGCCAAAAGCAGGAATAAATTGTTTGCCTTTCAGCTTCATAAGTTCTCTCCAAGTTTTTTTTTTTTTTTTTTTTTTTTTTTTTTTTTTGGTTCCCTCGCTTATCTGCCGAGTGTTTCTTAATGAGTTTTGAGGTTGTTCTCTTTTTTTCATCGCAATCGGCAAACTGTAAATTAATGTCACCGAAATGGCAGCCAAACCAATTTGGGAGAGGGGAGGAAAACCGCATAAAGAGGAAAACAAGCGACAAGACCGGGCCAAAACCGCTTGTTGAACCACTGACAGATTTCCCTACCCTTCCGATCGCCCCGCGCGTCAATTCGTCAATTGTCAACATTTGTCAGTCTTAATAAGTTTTGCGAATGCTTAGCAAAATCTCAATTTATGCTCATGTTTCTGTGGGGTCTGGGAATGGGAATGGGAATGGGAAATGGAGGTTAAGTGGAGGTTTACTGCTTCGCTTTTCGTTTGGGTTTGGGTTGGGCCTGTGGACCCATGGGGAGATTTATGCTCGCCTTAGGTAACTCGGGAAAATTATGGAAGCCGGTCTGGAGTTTCGACATTTTTTCACAAAGTTAAAGGTTGAAAATCTTGCAGTTTCTGGATATTAGTTATAAAATATGTTTATTAGCCATGAAGTGTAATCGTTAATATGATGTGAGATTGTAAAGGTTAAAATCTTATCTAAAGTTGTTTATACTCAACTGAAACTAAGCCCACCTAGTGATTTTTTTTGCCATGGCAGAATCGGTTAATTCTGCGGGTCGATGCGAGTCAATGAACCACTTAGTTCTGAATTCCGTAATGAGTTTAAAGGCCCCTTAATCTCCCCCACTCAACCAATCTTCTAGTTTGTTTTTCCTCTTTCGCAGCCTAACAGCAATTTTCAATTTACTTTTCAGCTAAATCGAACCAGACAGGCACTGAAAGCTGGCCATTATCTTGGCTTAGCACTATCCAGCAACGAGCTCCTTCGAAACAAGATGGACTGCCTCATTTGCTGGATTTATGGACTGCGAATGGACGGAAAACTCATTGTCCTGCCTTGGGGGCTCCTTGACCGCCATAAAATATGAATGTGGAACCGAGGGACAGGTGACCAAGGTAACTTGCTTGGTATACGTCCACTGGACGGATACCCCTTCCTAGAGCAACATTCGCACGTCTGTGCAATTTGCGGCATGCAGCAAACTTTCACATGGCGAGCCAGGCAAATTAACAGGCCCCCAAAAATAAAAGTATAAATAAATCCATCCACTGGAAAATGTGCCCCACTAAAAAACACCCACCAACTGCGCGGCTCCGAGGAAAATTAAGTCTCCTGCGAAAATTCAAATGAAAGTGAAGTGAAGAATTGATGGACACCGTGTTACCTTTCCCAGTATCGCAACTGCAAGTGTGTCGGTGTGTGGGTGTGTGGGCGGGGCACCATTCCAATCCACACACACTCATGACAAATGCCTCGCAAGGCTCCAAGTCCCCCGAAAAGAGCTCGCCAATTTAATTTATGAGCCGAGCGATCTCTATGCGATGACTATCGCCCGACGAAGCGTAACGCCCTCCTGGCATCCGGCGGCGGGTCCGAAGCGGTTAGCGGTAAACAGGGCCGCCTAATGCGATTAGTTGGAGATGGGGTTTCAGTATAGAGACGGGAATTGATATCTTAGCCTTATGGTTTTGAAAATCTCTTCTTACTGATAAATTATTAGGTATTTTGAAACGCATCAAGGGAGAATTCCGAGATCACTGAACTATAAATAAGTAATACAATATATTGTAGCTCCTAAAAAAAGGCTCCCATAGAGCATTATTAAAAGTATTCGTGTCACGCGCTCATCTCTGAAACCTAAAACTGTAGCAC